GGCACGACGAACTTCTTTGGTACCTCCATCTCTCGGATATCCCTTGTAAAAGGGGATTGCATAGCCTCGCCTTCTGCGTTGTCCTAGACAGTCTTGCCCCTTCTTCTGGATTTCAGCCGAGCTCTGAGATCAGTTTCTACCTCAGGGGGAGGTCCTCTGAGGTTTCTAAGGTCATTGATGGGATTCTCCTTCTCCGGGCGTCGTGTGGAAAGGGTTGAATCCTCCTCGGACTCATCCTCCTTCCCCCACCTGGATAGTCCTCGCCGAAGGTCGTCCCAAGCCAAAGGCCTTGTCTTCTTGGAATGACCATCGAGGGGGTGCTCATTGGCTCTCGGGAGCTTTGGGACCCTGGAACTCTCAACTTTGTTGTTTAAATGATTCCTCAGGTCCTCGGTTCCCGGACAGAGCGTCCACGGGAACGGAATGAGTCCCTCGATCCTTGGTCGGGGGCTGCAAATTTGTTGAGCCGGCTTATGACATTCACATTATCTTTTTCTAACTGTCGTATTCGATCCCCAAATTTTTCTTCGATCACTTTCGCCAGTTGACGAGCCAAGGGGGCGGATCCTCCTGACCTAATACCCATACTGGTTTGAGGAGTATCCCCCCTTGATTGAATAAAAACATTCCTGTTGTCACCAGCGTGATCCCTTCCCCCACCATGATGAGGAGCTTGTAACTCGAGACTTCTTTGCTGGGGGCCTTTTCCTTTTTGTCGAGTATTCACCATGGTCATTGTTTTTTCTAGAACAGAAACTAGGAAAACTAGTTGTTTCCCATAGACGGCGCCAGATTGTGCGTGCACATTCTTGCACAATATAAACACAAGAACAGATCTCTTTCGTGGTGAACACGAGTCCGTCGATCGAGTGGTCAATCTATCTACTTGGAATAGGTTGTGAGGGCCGAAGGTGGCCTATGAAGTGATGATGGATTATTTTTATGGGTCGCTGGTCTTGGGAGGCTAAGAGAGGTTCCTGGAACAGAGAAAAACAGGTTAGAAGGGCGCCGGAGTTTTTTTCAACGTATCTCCTTCGATGATCAAGTCAATTTTTTGAGAGAAGAGAAGAAAAAAACACTATATCATCCTTGAGAAAGGGTTTTTACGTACTTTTTTAATGTGTTTATGAGGATTATTTATACCTTACAAAACTTATCATTACTGACAGTGTAGCTAGTAAGTAATCATTAGAGGTGGGCAGTGTGCACACTAATTTCTATGAGAAATGTTCTCATTCTTAATTGCTCGGGACCCCGAACAATTAATGCCTTCTTCTCGGTCTGTCGAGCGTTTAATGACCTTCTCTCGGCAGAGATGTATTAAATGCCCAGGCATAGGAACATTTATTACCTTTTACTTCTAGGCTCTTATGCATTAAATGCTGTCTCATTGAGTGAAGGATGCATTAAATGCCTGACCTCCCAAGCCGTGTGTCAGCAAGAACATTCTAGTTTTTTTGTCTTTGACCTGACACAATATGCCATGTGCCCATTCCTTNTAAATGCCTGACCTCCCAAGCCGTGTGTCAGCAAGAACATTCTAGTTTTTTTGTCTCTGACCTGACACAATATGCTATGTGCCCATTCCCTTTTGGTTGAGCCTTCTGCTTCCTTGTGCCTCCTGACACCATTTGAGTAGCATGATGTTATGATGGCTAGTCTAGCCTAGTAACCTGTCAATCAATAGCCCCTGTAGGAGTAGAAATGCGCACGTGGGTAGATACACCTCGGTGCCGAGGGACTAAAATGATTAGGGACCGATATCTCAAACTGACCGAGGGATACGTGTCGGTCCATGGCATATTGAGNGAAATGCGCACGTGGGTAGATACACCTCGGTGCCGAGGGACTAAAATGATTAGGGACCGATATCTCAAACTGACCGAGGGATACGTGTCGGTCCATGGCGAATTGAGGATCCTTGATCCCTGTGAATAGTACCCTCGGGGAAGAGGGTTATAGACCGATGAGGACGTGTCGGGATTACAGCAGAGAGTCTCCATTGGCGCCGAGTACACGTGTTGTCATCTTGGTGTGTCTGGAAATGTCCTATCACATAATATAAGAAAAAAATTCAAAATAATTTTTTAAAAAAAATTAAAAAAAAATTAGTGACAACGTACGCTTAAACATAATACAAGGAAAAAATTCAAAATAATTTTTTTAAAAAAAATTGGTGATACCGTACGCTTAAGCATAATATANATTAGTGACAACGTACGCTTAAACATAATACAAGGAAAAAATTCAAAATAATTTTTAAAAAAAAAATTGGTGATACCGTACGCTTAAGCATAATATAAAAAAAAAATTCAAAATAAATTTTTTATATATAAACTCTTAACAGAGGAGGGCATTTGTGTCATTTTACTCTCTTATACCGTCCATTCATTTGTACCGGGAAGATAATACCATCTGGTAGGTGGTATTCAATAGTACCATATAGAAGACATTTAAGTCACTGTTCACACCAGGTAGGTACTACGACCCGAAAAATAATACTGATTGAAAAATGTCAAACAAATAAGGTATAGAGTGGGTCATACGTACTATTTCCCTAATCCTACCCCTTTATACCACCCATATCCTGCCAACAAACAGGCCCTTGGGGGACAAAGGGAAAGATGTAGAGAGAAAAAAAGATCTTTATATAGTTTTTATACACTTGAAGAAGGCATATGATTGAGTACTTAGGGACATAATATGATGGATTTTAGAGAAGAAGAGAGTTCTAAATAGATACATTGTTATAATTAAGAAATATGTACGGGAGTGTAGTGACTTTAGTTGAACAATTGTAGGGACAAATAGTGAATTCGCAATCACTATATGTCTATATCAGGGTTACGCATCAAATCTATATCTCTTTGCATTGATTACGAATGAATTGACTAGATATGTTCAGAATGAGATTCTATGGTGTAACCAGTGTTATCAGAATTGGACCGGATCGGTCGGTCCAACCGGTGAACCGGACCCTAAGTCGGTCCAGTTTTGAAATTAGACCGCTTAAGTAATCGAACCGCTTAAAATCCAGTCGAACCAGACAAATTTTAACCAAACCGACCGTTGGATTATTAATGCTTTACTGTGCAGAATGTTGGGTAGTTAAGAAACAACACACTTAAAAATTGTGGTGCATAAATGGGGATATTAAGCTTAAATTGTGGAAAAACAAGAACAAATAGAATTAGGAAATAGGAATTGAGTAAATGCGTAAAACCGTAGAAGTACCAATAATAAGGGATAAACTATGAGAGTATAGATTTAGGTGGTTTGGACATGTTTATAAAAGACTTAGTAATGAACCACTCAGAAAGAGTGTTCTACTACATATTGATGGTAATGCGAGATAGAGGCAAGTCAAACTTAACTTTGAATGAAATAATAAAAATTGATGTGATAGCTCATGGTTAACTGGAAAATATGACCACTGGTAGATTATAATGGAGAAACAAGATTTATATGGCTGACCCTCAATACATGCGATAAAAATATGTTGAGTTTAATTTAGGTCTGCACTGGATATATAGAAACTCATGCTTCATGCACAAACATTATGTATGTGGGTTTGCAAAGTGTGTGAGCTAATAACTTTGTGAACCTGTATAGGTGCATGGGTGGACGATGGGTGGAAATGGGTTTTGGAATTGCGAAGTCGAGATCATATATGCTTAGGTGCAAGTTAATTAGCTTTTCTTTGCTTCTTGTTTAGAAGCAATTCTTAACTGACTGTTAAGATGAAACTGGTAAATGGGTTGGAGATGATTTGGAGGCCATACAATGCTTGGTGAATTTGGGTGGTGGTGATCAGTGGTTGTTGGGTGGAAACAGTACGACTTTGATCTGATTGGTAAGAGTCCTGGGTGTGTGTGGTTAGCGCAGGAGAGAGAGATAGAGAGAGAGAGGGTGGGTTGCCTGTAAATCCCTTATGGTGGATTTTTTATATTTGCAGAGAATGAGGATGGGAGAAAGACGGTCTGTCTTAACTTNCTGTAAATCCCTTATGGTGGATTTTTTATATTTGCAGAGAATGAGGATGGGAGAAAGACGGTCTGTCGTAACTTGCTTGTAAATCTGTCATGGTGGCGATACCCATTTCACCACCTTAGCAACATCTTCGTTAATGAATGACAAAAACTGTCAATTCACATAGCATTCTGTGTCAAAAATTAAAATACCATGACTGNTTGCTTGTAAATCTGTCATGGTGCGATACCCATTTCACCACCTTAGCAACATCTTCATTAATGAATGACAAAAACTGTCAATTCACATAGCATTCTGTGTCAAAAATTAAAATACCATGACTGGAGTTGGATGCTAAAACCATTCCTCTGTGTTTATCAGCCATTGCTCATGGTGGTTGATGCCACTGAGAGAGAGAGAGTGCAGCTGTTGGAGTGGATACCTCTGTTACCGTTAGCTATTGGATTAACATTTAAACTTTACCCAAAAAAAAAAACAAATTTTAAACATTAGGGATGCCATGGATAAAATTGATAACTTAGGGGCCACATTGACAATTTGCGTGTTACTTTGAGGACCAACAATGTATTTAATCCAAACTTGAGAAATATATTCAATAATACTCCTTACCTTGTGAAGGGTTTTTTTTCTCGAGGTCAAGGGTTGAAGTCCCCTCCTTCAAAAAAAAAAAAAAAAACCCACCACAAAAAAAATTCATACAATAAATTTAACATAATTGTGGAAAACGTTGTTGCTAAATGAAAAAAGACACCAGGACATGGTATATTAAAATTTGATATATGTGGGTGGCATATCTGGATCTTAGGTTCTGTTTCAGACTTAAAGAATCTAAGTCGACGGCAATATGAATTTGAATGAGCTTAGAAGTAAAAATATCACAATAATGTATTCTTGTATTCATTTTTGAGATATTGGCCATCATTTCACATATTTTATTCAAGCACCAGATCTAAATAAAATTTTTCAGCATCCTTCAGCTATTCTCTAGGTTCATCACCGTCTGGCTTCTGATGGTCTTTTGCTTTATTGCCTATGCCAAATTGGTTTCACTTGTCACATTTTGAATCTGACTAGGCTTTTTCATATATTTTTTTGTTATTTCCTGCTTTCAGGCCGATGGGCTGAAAGCAGTAGCAAGGGTTGGAATTCCTGGTGAGCACAGGGGAATCCTCTGTGATCATCATTTGTTTCGAATTCTCAGGCACTGGTTGAAAGCGGATCATGATCCTTTCTACAATCCTCTAAATGATTACGTGATCCTACCCACTTCTTTCGAAATTGAAAGGCACCATGAGAAGGGCTACCAAGTGACTTCGCTTAAAGAGGAATGGGAAATCATTACCGAAGACCAAGAAGACCTGCAAACCAATGCTAATACAAAGCCTTTGGTGGGTTCAATATCTATTTCACATGTGGGAGATGATCAATCTTCTCGGGAAGAGGCTCATGCCACAGTTACTGTCCACCCTCAAAGTGAGGGTAAGCAGCATGTTGAACTGAATGCAGTGTCTGTCTATGCAGGTGTTTAAAAACCTGATTGACTGAATCGTTGTATCAGTGGTGAGTGACTGTGTGTGTTTATAATGTTGTATCACTGATGCTATGTATAAAAGCTATTTGTATTATGTCTTGTATAGTAGTAAGATAACTGTGATTTGTGAATATGATTGTAAATAGAACTTGATTATTAGAAGATCTTGTTCATTAAGCTTGTTTATTCGTAATTTTAATTTGAAGTAAATACAGTAATAAAGCAGGGTTTCCAAACCTAGTTTGGGAATTACATTCACAAGTGTCCATGTACTGTTGTTTTTATAACATGCCCAATTACCCTTTGTTAATTGTGGCTTGTATTTGAATTCCACTCAAATAGGAAATTCTAATATTAGTTTAATATTAATTAGGAAAAAGGTATTTTTGTCCAACATGGATTTGTAAAGCCTTAGAGGACTTGAATTAAGAAGTCTAGGAGCCTTATCTATTTTGAAGTGGGTCTTCGGTGATTGTGGGATTGACGGGCATGGACGAGAACGAGTTCTCTCGTTTAGAACTTTGGGTTTTATTTTAGTTGTTTTGGGTCTTCTTTGGAAATACCAATTTATATATTGGGAAAAAAAATTTGAGTGTTATTTTATTGTAATAGCATGATAAGAGTGGATAGTTCTATCATTAATTTGTTTTGAAAATTTTGTAATCTCTAATCTTTAATAATGAAATCTTGTTATTGTGTTTCGTTATTGAATGTAGGCTTGTTTGTTAAGTTGACCACATAAATCTTGTGTTATATTTTTTTATTTTGTTGCATTATTATTTTGCTTGTGGCTTTGGTTCATAACAAATCAGTATTAGAGCTATTGGTTTCGGGATGACTACAATAAAATTTGAAATAGAAAAGTTTGATGGTCAGAATAATTTCAATTAATGACAGATTAAGAGAAAGACATTGCTTTGTCAACAGAGTTTGGTAGAAGTTATTGATGAATTTCTATCCAAAGAGACATATAAGATTAATGTTGTCTCTTGCTGATTAAGTTTTTAGTGAGGTTGTCGATGAAAACAAAGCCTAAGGGCTCTGAAAAAAGTTGGAGAGTTTATATATGAAGAAGTCTCTTGCCAACCGCTTGTATCTGAAACAACGGTTGTATACACTCAAAATGAAGGAAGGTATGCCAATTACTGAATATCTTGATGAATTTAACAAAATTATTATAAACTTGAAAAATATTGATATTAAAATTAGGGATGAAGATTATGCCCTGGTTGTGTTATGCTCGCTGCCTGATTTATTTGTTAATTCGATGTTGTATAAGAGAGACGCGATATTCTCAGTTAATGTGAAGTCTTCTTTGAATTCTAAAGAGTTATGTACTAAATTAAATGGTAAGTGTAGTGATGCTCAAATCGAAGGTCTATTTGTGAAGGGTTGTTATAATAATTTCTCTAATAATAATAAAGGTTGATCCATTGAAAGAAATTTAGATAAAGGAAAAGAAAGATCTGGATATTGATCACAGTTTAGGAAAAAACTGAATAATGTTGAATGTTTCTATTGTTACAAAATTTGTCATTACAAGTGCTATTGTTTTAAGTTGAAAAATAAAAGGGGAACAGAAAAAATCAAATCCTTTCGATTTCATTAGTGTTGCTGGTGTTGTAGAAGATATATCTGATGGTTCAGATAATGTCCTTACAGTTGTTGTCTCTGATAGGCGTTTTAATGATGAGTGAANTAAAGGAAAAGAAAGATCTGGATATTGATCACAGTTTAGGAAAAAACTGAATAATGTTGAATGTTTCTATTGTTACAAAATTTGTCATTACAAGTGCTATTGTTTTAAGTTGAAAAATAAAAGGGGAACAGAAAAAATCAAATCCTTTCGATTCCATTAGTGTTGCTGGTGTTGTAGAAGATATATCTGATGGTTCAGATAATGTCTTTACAGTTGCTGTCTCTGATAGGCGTTTTAATGATGAGTGAATTCTTGATTCAGATTGTTCCTATCATATGTGCCCTAATAGGGATTGGTTTACCACCTATGAGTCAATCAATGGTGGTTCAGTCTTGTTGAAAAATAATATTGCTTGCACAACTGTTGGAATAGGTACTATCCGAATTAAAATACATGATAGGGTTCTGAGGACTTTGACAGATGTTTGACATATTCTATAATTGAAGAAGAATTTGATTTCTTTGAGTATTTTAGATTCTATTGGTTGCAGGTTTTCTGCTAAAAGTGGAGTTATGAAAGTTTGCAAGGGTTTCCTAGTCGTGAAGAAAGGTAAAAAGATTAATGACTTCTATATTCTTTAAGGTGATACTATGATTGGTGCAACTAGAATAGTGTTANAAGTTTGCAAGGGTTTCCTAGTCGTGAAGAAAGGTAAAAAGATTAATGACTTCTATGTTCTTTAAGGTGATACTATGATTGGTGCAGCTAGAATAGTGTCANTTCTTTAAGGTGATACTATGATTGGTGCAACTAGAATAGTGTTATTTTTAAAAATTTCAGATTCAAATACTACCAAGTTATGACATAAGCATTTAGGCCACATGAGCGAGAGAGGCATGTAAGTTTTGTGTAAGAAGAGTTTGCTTGACAAACAAAAAATTGGGAAATTTGATTTTTGTGAGTATTGTGTCTTCGAAAAAACGGTGCAACGTCAAGTTCAGTACAACTATTTATAGGACTAAAGATACAATTGATTATATTCATTCAGACCTTTAGGGTCATTTTGAGGTTCCATCTAAGGGTAACACTCAATTTCTTTTGACATTTATTGATGATTATTTAAGAAACGTTTGAGTGTATTTTTTGAAACGCAGGAGTGATATTTTTAGGACTTTCAAGCAATGAAAGATTTTGAGTGAGAAACAGATGGNATTGATTATATTCATTCAGACCTTTAGGGTCATTTTGAGGTTCCATCTAAGGGTAACACTCAATTTCTTTTGACATTTATTGATGATTATTTAAGAAACGTTTGAGTGTATTTTTTGAAACAAAGGAGTGATATTTTTAGGACTTTCAAGCAATGAAAGATTTTGAGTGAGAAACAGATGGGTAAGAAAGTCAAGCATCTCAGAATAGATAATGGTTTGAAATTTTGTAGAGGTGAATTTAATGAGTTTTGCAAAGATGAAAGCATTGTCAGACATCGTACTGTTTGGTCTACTTCACAGCAAAATAGAGTTCCATAGAGGAAAAACATCANAGAATAGATAATGGTTTGAAATTTTGTAGAGGTGAATTTAATGAGTTTTGCAAAGACGAAAGCATTGTCAGACATCGTACTGTTTGGTCTACTTCACAGCAAAATAGAGTTCCGTAGAGGAAAAACATGAATCTTTTGGAGAGCGCACGTTGTACGCTCTAATGTAGGATTTTTTAGCTGAGCTATCAACATGGCTTGCTATTTAGTTAATCGTTTTCTATCCACCGTTATTGAGTTAAAGACTTTACATGAGGTATGGTTTGATACTCTTGCTGATTATTCTGATTTAAAAATATTTGGTTGCACATCTTATTGTCATGTGAATGATGGTACATTTGAGCCTAGGGCAAAGAAATGCATATTTATTGGTTATGTTAATGGTGTGAAAGGATATAGATTGTGGTGTTCGGATCCTAAATCACCTAATTTTATCATCAATAGGGATGTTGCATTTGATAAATCTTGTATGTTTCATCCGAGAAAGGAGTTTGTAGTTTCTATAGGAAAAGAACATGGTTATAGCAAGGCGGTGGAGGTGGAGGTACTGGTGAAAGCTTAACAGAAAGTACTTCAGGTCATTCTATTACAGATTTGTCTAGTTCTAGTTATGGTGATGATCCATAGGAGCAGCATGAGTATAATATTGCAATAGGCAGGGAGAGGAGACAAATTAGGCCCCATCAGAAATATGGGTATGTAGATTTGGTGGTTATGCATTAACTATAGTACATGAGTTTGGTGTTCAGGAACCTTCCATATATTCAAAAGCTATCATAGGTAATGAGTCTTCTCTTCATAAGAATCAGACTTATAAATTAATGAAGTTGCCTAAGGGCATGAAGGCTGTTGGTTTCAAATGGGTCTTTAAGAAAAAAGAAAGAATTCCAGGGATTGAATCTGTAAGGTATAAGACACGATTGGTTAAGGTCTATAGTCAGAGACAGTGCGAACTTCAATAAAATTTTCTCACCAGTTGTGAAATATAGCTCTATTCGTGTATTGCTTGCAATGGTTGCTTCATTCAATCTAGAGCTTGAGCAACTTGATGTAAAAACAACTTTTCTATATAGTGAGCTTGAGGAACTATCTACATACATCAACTAGAGGGATTTATTATTTCAGGTAAAGAAGATTATGTTTGCTTGTTGAAGAAATCATTATATGGTTTGAAACAGTCTCCAATGCATTGGTACAAACGTTCTGACACATTTATGGTAGATCATGGTTGCTCTAGGAGTAATTATGATAGTTGTGTGTATCACATGTAGTCGTCAAATGATTTTTTTATATATTTATTATTTTATGTGGATGATATTCTTATTGCTCTTAAGAGCTTGTAAGAGATTGACAAGTTAAAGAAANTATATATTTATTATTTTATGTGGATGATATTCTTATTGCTCTTAAGAGCTTGTTAGAGATTGACAAGTTAAAGAAACAATTGAGTTTATAATTTGAGATGAAAGATTTGGGTGTTGCAAAAAAAAAAAAATTTGGGTATAGAGATTCATAATTCGAAGCTCGTTAGTCACTTGCCGCTCACTTTAGACTTTCAATAGCTTTATCATTACAAAGTGAGAATGAGGNAAAAAAAAAAAAAATTTGGGTATAGAGATTCATAATTCGAAGCTCGTGAGTCACTTGCCGCTCACTTTAGACTTTCAATAGCTTTATCATTACAAAGTGAGAATGATGAGCAGTTTATGTCTCGTGTTTCCTATTCTAGTGTAGTTGGGAGCATCATATATTCTATGATATGCACTCATCTAGATATTTTTACAGGCTGTTAGTGTGGTTAGCCATTACATGGCTAATC